GTGTCTGTGTGTGTGTGTGTCTATGTGTGTGTGTCTGTGTGTGTGTGTCTGCGTGGGCTTCTGCGTGGGCCTGGGCAACGTGTGGCGCTTCCCTTACCTGTGCCAGAGCCACGGAGGAGGTAGGCGGCCAGGCGGGGCTGCAGGCCAGGCCCTGGACACACACACACACACACACACACACACACACACACACACACACACACACACAGACACACACACACAGACACACACACACACCACACACACACACACACAGACACACACCACACACAGACACACAGACACACACACACACACAGACACACACACACACAGACACACACACCACACACACACACACACACACACACCACACACACACACAGACACACACACACACACACAGACACACACACACACACACACACACAGAGGCCCGGGGACTCCCCGTGAACAGAGGGGAGAGGAGAAGCCACAGGGTGTGGGGGGAGCTGAGGCCCCCACCTGCCCTTGAGCCGGGTTCCTAAGTTGCTGGCGAGGAGCTGGCCTGGCTGGCATGGCCGAAGGGCTTTGTGTGGGGCCCCGGGGAGAGCCCTGTCCTACAGACTGGCAGTCCTGCCGTTCTGGGGACCCTCTGGCCTGAGGGTGGGGCCGGAGGAAGGGCACTTTGCCCAGTACAGCCCCTCCTTGGAAGGCTTGGGGCTGAGCCCTCCTGGGCACCACCTCTTGTCCTAGCCCCACAGATGGGCACCTGCCAGGGCACGGGCAGAGGAGGGAGCCAGGTTGGGGGCAGGGGACCCTCAGAGGAACAGGGTGAGTGGCTGGAGCCTGGGGACTCAGGCCTGGCTCTTGGGTGGGTGCCCTTAGGCTGGAGGCTGGGGAGCCACTGTGCCCATGAGACACGCAAGCCTGGGCGCTCCTTGCTCCTCCAGCTCCTGGAACCCAGGTGGGCACAGCTGCTGCTGGCATGGAGGTGACACTTGTGTCTGCCCAGTGGCCCTGAGCATCTGAGGAGTGGCTCTAGGCCTCTGCTCCCCGGCCTGGGAGAGGCTTCTCCTAGGACCCCACACTGGGACTGGGTCAAGCCGATGCCCTCATAAACCCGCTGCTTTGTCAATGGAAGGTCCGAGAAGGCTGGGCACCGTCTGCCCTGGGGCGGTTCATGGGGGCCGTGAGGGTCTCAGTCTCTGTTCAGAGGAGCCCTCCCTCGGTGGACCTGGTCTTTCTCGCCGGGGGAGAGCTGCGTCTCTCATGCAGGCTTTGTGATGTGAAGATTTTTCAAGCAAAGCAGAGATGGGCTTTCCCGAATCAGTTTCACCTCCAGCATGGGCAGGGACTTGAGCATTGCCTTGGGCAGGTGGGCGCTTTGCCAGCCTCTGCCCCAGCTGGCACCTTCCACTCGGGGTTTCCCACTGGGGTGCTCGTGTCCTGGTGAATCTAATCTGGGCTGCAGCTCTGCCATAGGGAGCCTTCAGAGGCAGCTGAAAGGACTTGGGGACACAGGGTCCCCTCCTCCGGCTCCCGGGGGCTCGTGGATGCCAGGACAGTGGAGCAGCCAGTGTCCACTCAGCGCGCCGTCTCTCCATGCATCTCGGTGAGGGCTTCTGCACGCGCGCCCGTGTCAGTGCCGCCAGGCTTCCTCGTTTTACCGTCATGGAGACCACAGCGAGGGGAGGCAGGAGGCGGCTCCACCTGGCTCCTCCCGGAGGCTTCCTGAGGGTTTGGGGTTGTCCTTCCGGTGAAAGCCTCACACAGGCCTCAGCCTCCCAGGTCTGAACACATTTTGCCCTCCTTGGAGAACCTGTGCCAGCTGGGCAGGCTCAAGGGACCCATTCCAAACCCAGCTGCCCCACTCACCCGAGCCACCCCGAGGGCACACGGTGCCTGGGCGTTCTCACCTGGGAAATGGGTCTGAGGGCAGAGCCCACGCGAGTGGGGTGTGTGGGGGGTGCAGGAACAGCCGTGAGACGTGGTCAGCCGGGGCTCCCCCGACTCCCCCACGCCCCCCACACCACCCCACACCCCCCGTGTCCCCCACTACGAGCAGCTGCCCTTCAAGGCCCACATGGCCCCAGCACAGCAGTCCCGGCTGCTCAGCGCCTGGCCCGGGGCCAGCTTTCCCTTAGTCCACCTGTGCTATTCCTCAGCAAAAGCCCAGGCAGTGTTCAGTCACTCGGTGCCACAAACAGCACCTGCTGGAGAGAGAAGAGGGGAGCTTATTCCCTGCATGGGGGCTGCAGCTCCCCCCTCCCCTCCCTCCTCTCCTCGTTCCCCAGTTTTTCAAGGAAAGAGATGGAACTTCGCGTCTGTGCCCAGTGTCTCTTTCCCTCTGGGTGCTCTCTGTCTTCCCACGCCCCCACCCCACGCTCTCCCTCTGCCCACCCCCGCACCCCAGCTGTCTTCCCACGCCCCCACTTCACACTCTCCCTCTGCCCACGCCACACCCCAGCTCTCCGTCTGCCCATACACCCACACTACCTCTCCGTTACCTGCTTCCGCCTGAGCGATGCCAGCGCCTGCAGCACAGCACAGAGATGCCTGGTTTCCAGGGACCTTTGCAACCACGTCCAGGGGCCTGCACTGCCCCGTCGAGCGGGGGCCACCCAGTGTCCCCAGGGGAGCGACAGCCTTTCTCTCCTCTCCTTCCTCTGCACCTCATCCCACATGAGGAAGAAGTTGCTAGGTTTCAAAGACAAATATTCATATTCCGGTGGCTTAAAGTGTCCAGAATGCTTGGCTTTCCCTGAGTTTCTTGGGGCAGGACAGGCTCCTGCCTCGGGGTTTCGAGTGGGGTGGAGTGGGTGTGTGCCCCCCCAGTCCTCTCTGATCACTGCTCCATGCTGAGCCTGAGCCCCAGGGGTCAGGGATCTGAGGGTCTCCTGCCCCGAGGAACTTTCAGAAGGGAGAGCCACCAGGAGCAAGGGCAACAGCTGAGGTTCCCAGAAGAGGGGACATCCTAGTAGGGTTTTCAAGGATGAATAGGAGTTTTCCCAATGGAGGTGGAGCAATAGGAAGACCCAAGCATTTAGGGTTAGGGCACAGTGGAGGGAAGGGAGGGGCTGGAGGACGTCTGGGACTGTGCACTTGCTTCCTCCTGGGAGTTTTGTCTGGAAGAGTTTCAATTCAACCTCCTGGAAAAAAAAAAAATTGGAGGAGTGAATCTTTTCTTATTTCAACCCAATGAGCAGGCCCTGCTGGGGTCTTGGGAGTCCCTGCAGGTGAGCCTGCAACCCACCCCCTCCCTCAGGGACCTGCTTGTGGGCGTCTCCTGCACCCAGCCTCGGGGACCTGCTGGTGGGCGTCTCCTGCACCCAGCCTCGGGGACCCGCTGGTGGGAGTCACTTGCACCCAGCCACCATTGCCCTCTGCCTTTCATCTCCTGATGAACCCAGCATCCCACCAGCCCACCCTCCGTGCCTGGCTCTCCTGGAATTCCCCTCCTGCAGCCCCTCCTTCTGAAGGAACCTGCCCCTGCAGCCCCAGCTCAGAGAGAAGGGCCTGTGTGGGGATGGAGGCTTGGGACTCCAGAGGGCCCTGTTCCACCCCCCGGGCACACACTGTGTGCACAGCGGAGGAGGAGGAGAGAGAAGAGGCTCGCTGTTAAACTGGGAGACGGAGGGGCCAGAAAGGCCGCAGGGGCCAAGCAGGAAGTCGGGCCGCCAGCACCAGCTCCTCCCTCCCACCTCCACCCCTCCCTCCCTCCTTCTCTCCCCCCGCTTCTCTCCCCACCCCGTCACCCTGTCTCTACTTCTCCCTTCTCTCTCTGTCTTTCTCTGTTTCTGTCTCTGTGTGTCTCTCTCTGTCTCTCTCTCTCTGTGTCTCTTCTGTGTCTCTGTCTCCGTCCCTGTCTCTGTATGTTTGTCTCTGTCTCTCTGCCTGGTTCCCTCTCTGTCTCTGTCTCTCTGTGTCTCTGGGTCTCACACTCACCAGTGCCATCCCCTGAGGATGCTAGTTTGGGGTCTGACGAGGCCCTGCTGGCCGGGAAGACAGTGGTCGGATGGGGGAAGGGAGACAGTGAGGAGGGAATTCGGGGAGCTCAGGTTTTGAGGTTTGGTGGGAGAAGGTGAAATGAAGCGTGTGTGGGGGGAATGGGGGCGAGGGTGGCCAGCCTGGGGGCAGGAGGATGATGGTGACTTGGCTTTGCCAGGAGTGGAGGCTATAGGCAGGCGGGTCTCATGTCCCTTCTGAGAGGCCCCAGGGACATGCGGGGTGAGGAGGGGCTGTTGCTGGGATCCCAGAGCCATGAGAGCGTGGCCACAGCCCTCCTTCACAGGGTCAGTCACTTCTGGACGGGAGGGTGGCCCCAGGAGAAGGGACCCAGGTCAGGGTGGCTCACGGGGACTGGGAACACACACACCCCCAGGCCCTCCAGCCACAGCCGTGTTCTGGGTTCTCACGTGGCTGCAGCTGCTGAGCTCCGTCCTTCAGCTGCTGGCTTCGCTGTGCTCACCCCGGCCACAGCACGGCCCTTCCATCCAGCCTGAGCCAGGTGCGGCGGGAGCTGCTTCCCTGTGGCGGCGCCTTCGCTTCCCCAAGCGGGGACCCCTGAGGGCAGGGGAGCCCAGGCGCCCAGCCTGAGTCCACAGGGGGCTGGGGAGCACGGTCTTCATCCCACATGGGGGCAGTCGGCGCAATGAGGTGGCATCCCCCTCAGGAGGGCTGGCTCTGCCACCCACCCAGCATGTGGCCCTGTGGCCCTGTCCACTCGGGAGATGCTCGTGAGGCTCCTGTGATGCCGGTTGGTCAGTTCCGTGCTGGCACCTGTGTCTCCAGGGAGCAGAGCCCACAGAACCCGCCTGCCCCGCCCCTCCATGTCCCCGTGGCCGGGTGCCCAGGCTCAGGTTGGAACGCACTCCGCGGCGTCAGGCCAGCCTCTGAAGTCACACCCCACAGCCTGACTCCTCTCTGCCGTTCCTGACCCTCGTCCTTCTCCACCTTTGAGCAAAGGACCCCCGGTGTCCACACCGCCCTGGCTGGATGGGGGCCTTGCCCATGCCATGTCCCTCCTCTCCCTCTGCCCAGCCCCTTGGGCACCATCAGGGACACCTGGGTGGCTGCAGCTCAGCCCGTGTGTGTCGCCGTGGGGCCTTGGGGCTGAGCTGGGCGGCCGTGCGTCCACCGCAGAGGGAGCGGTCAGAGCTGCCCCGCGTGGCTGGCCGAAGTGAATGCATGGCCGTGGCTAGGCCCTTCTCCAGCTGCTCTGAGAGGGAGCCGACCCATGCGTTTCAGCTTCGGTTTTTCTAGAGACAGAATGTAAAGACGTGAGGAACTGTGAGTGTGAGACCCTTCTAAGCGTCTGCTGCTTTTCCCAACTCCCTTCTCTGCGCCCCAGGCTGAGCCTGAGCCCCCGCGCCTGGCGATCCCAGGAGCCACGCCTTCCCCTCAGGGTCAGTGCGTCCCCATCTCTTATCTAGTTCAAAACAACTTTCAAACAAACAACTTTCCCGTCAGTTGAAATCCTAAAAGTGGCCCTTGGCTTAGACCACGAGCGAATCTCCTGGCTCCTGGCTCTCGGCGCCTGGACACCCCGCTTCCTGCTGCAGTTCTAACCCAGACAGAACGACTGCAGTTCCTCAAAGATTCAATGGCATCCTATTTCAAAGGTGATTTTAAACTCTTCCAAGGCAGAGAATTAGTCCCAGAACGACGGTAGGAGGCGTCCCTGCAGGGCAAAGAGGTGAGCAGCGAGAGGCGGTGGATTCCCCACCAGACAAGACCGTGGTCACAGCACGAGCAGAAATGTCTCAACATTTATTTTGTTGCCATTTTTTATTGTACAGAATACCTGTAATGCAAAGCTTGCCATTTAATCATTTTGACACGTGCAGTTCAGCGGTGTTAAAGACATTCGCAGGTCATGTAGCTGGCACCACCCACCTTCACGACTCGGTCTTATGAACCAGCTGTCCCGTGAGGAACTGGCTCCCCACTGAGGCCACACATGACTGCCGGGAGCAGCCCCTCTCACGGCCACGCAGAATCGCCCAGAACCTTCATTAAGCCGAGAAAAGACACAGCTGGTGCCGCCGGCATGGGTGCGGCAGGGGTGGGCACTGCCTGGCTGGACGGGCAAGAGCAGCTCCGAAGGTGCCCGTCCGTGGGGCCCCCGCACTGCCGGGGGCCAGGTGGGGAGGTCGGTTCCGCGTTAGCTCCGTGCGCAGCAGCTGTGGCCGTATGTTGGTCTGTGTGTGGGGCAAGGACCACACCTCCCTCAATGGTCACAGCTTCCCAGGTCCCATGGGTGACTGCAGTCTGTGTGACGGTCAGGAACACCCAGCTGCCCAGTAGGGCTTCTAGAACATGCAGTCAGTTCTGGCCCTGATCTCACAGACTGGACACTCCTTCTCAGCTGTGTTCCCGGCTGGTGGGCCTGCCACAGGGGCTGCAAGGTTTGTTGTGAATGTCTGCTCCCGAGGGCAGCCTTTCAGCCCCCCCGTGGTCCTGTGGCCTGCTCACAGGTGTGGCAGCCTCCAAGGGCAGCCTTCTG